TTTGCTTGTCTGTGGACACGATATTTTTCACCTTGTCCAATGGGCAGAGCTAGTTTCTCAGCTGTGGTGCAACAGGGCGGGTCCGTCCGAAGAGGAGGGGCTGGAATGAGTTGTTTGTGGCATGTACTGGGGCTGACAGGTTGAGCTGGTGGTTAGTGCAGGGCAGGTTCCAGTAGGTCATGCCTGTGCTGCTCTGGAGTGCAGTGCTCAGCACACGGTGCAGATAGTCAGGAGGGAGGGGGAGAGGGAGGTTGTGATGTGTGGAGCTAGGTTGGGTATGAGAAAGAAGAGAGAGAGAGAAACAGGAGCAAAAAAAGAAAAAAGTGCTGAGGGAGCTTGCTGTTGTAGTGGAGAGACAAGAAACTGAGAAATGAAAGAAAGCAAAAATAAATAAATAAAAATTAAAAATGCCCCCAGGGAGTCCCACCAGTGTGGCTGCGCAGACCAGGGGAAGTGGCTCCCAAGCTGTGCAGTACAACCTGGCTAGAAGGGGTGGAGATAATACACAGCGTTAGGTATTCAGGAGACCGGAAAAGAAGGTACATAGAAAGAGACAAGAAACTGAGAAATGAAGAAAAATCAAAAGGAAAAAAGAAAGAAAAACAAACAAATGAAAAAAAAAAGAAAAAGAAAAGCCCCCAGGGATCCCACCAGTGTGGCCTTGTGGACCAGGGAAGCAGTTCCCCAGCTGAGTGGCGCTTCACAGCCTGTCAAGAAGAAGTAAAGATGGCACACGGAGTCAGGTGTTCGAGAGAAAGGAGGGAGAGGAGGTGAGAGGCAGGGAGGAAACCAAAAGAGGCCGAAAAAAGTGACACTAACAACAAAGAAATGGCAGTGAGAAAGCCAGCCTGTGTGAGCAGGGCAAATCTGAGAGACATGGAACTGTGCCTCCTGTGCTGCGGTAATAGCCCGCTGGGAAATGCTGGATCGACTCGCTGGGAAGCAGCGAATCGGCCCACCGGGAATCGGCCCTACGGGAACCAATCCCGAGAATTGACCTGCCGGGAAGCCAAGGATCGGCCAGCTGGGAAGTGGCGAAGGTCGAGAAGGGGGAGGCAGCGTTCGGGGTGGGAAAGTGTGTCTTGCTGGTTACCAAGTGCTCTTTCTTCTGCTGGGAGCTCCGTGAATCTGCTTTCCCATACTCCCTGTCTGCAGATCTCCGACAGGAGTCCAAGGTGATGGACCCGTGCCGGGTTAGTTGATAGGGGACCTCCCCTCGTAACTCTCATCACTCTCCGTTCTTTGTCAGTTTCTTATTCCATTCAGTGCTTGACTGAGTTCTTTATCTCTTCATTTGATGCTTAGGGTTCCAGGATTTACGTTTTTCTCTGTTTTACTTAGTTTTTCAGGTCTTTGCTGTGGCGGGGCGGCATGGTGCTTCTGTCTATAGCACCACGTTGGCACTGCCCGCAACTTAGTTTTTTGTTTGAAGATGTAAGGTGTCTGTTGTTGTTGTTGTTGGGTGCCGTCAAGTTGATTTTCAACTCATAGCAACCCCATATGATGGAATAGAACTGTTCCCAAAGAGTTTTCTAGTACTCTTTACAGAAGCAGATTGCCAGATCTTTCTCCTGTGGTGCTGCTGGGTGGGTTTGAACCACCAGACTTTCAGTTAGCATCCGAGTGTTTAACCATTGCACCATCAGGGCCTCTTACAACATATCTAAAGCTCTTTATTTCTGCTGAGAGGAAAAAAAAAAAAAAACCAGAAGGAAATATACCAACATGTTAACAGTGCTTAACAATAGTGGGTGGGCTTATGAGTGAGTGATTTTTATTTTCTTCTCTGTATGTTTTTTCTAAATTTTCTAAAACAAACACATGTATGATTAGGGAAGAAAAAGAAGTTAGGAAAAAATTAAATAAAGAAATGAGGCCATCTCAGAAAAGGATTCAGTGGAAGGGAGTACCAGCCCAGCTGCGTGGAAATGTTCTTTCTGCTCTGTTTTCTTTCATCCCGACAATTTTGCCAGAAAGTGGAAAAATAAAAAAGAAACTCAAACACTTACTTTCTATTCAGACTAAAAATAGGTACCTAGCAAGTCCAAGGAAAGAAAGAAACAAAGGAATCTGGAAGTGATAGAATAGTTGCCGAAGCTGGGTAGGTTTCATTGAGTGTCCTGTGACTGCTGATTGAAGATACATATCCTTCTCTTGGAGCCCTGGTGGCGCCAGTGGTTAATCGTTCAGCTGCTATCCAAAATGTTGACAGTTCGAATCCACCAGCTGCTCCTTGGAAACCCTATGGGGCAGTTCTGCTCTGTCCTGTAGGGTCACTATGAATAGGAATCAACTCAATGGCAACGGATTTACGGGATCCTTCTCTTTGGAAAATGAGTGCAGGTAGAATTGGTGGACATAGGGGGTTATGTAGGGAATGAAGGGGCAGCTGCGAAACACAAGTTGCAGATTGCCAGACTTTTCAGCATTTGTGGGTGTCTGCCTCATTTGCCGTTCTGCTGCTGTAGCAGTGGTGTACTTCATCACATTTACTGTTGCTCTAGTGTGTTCTCCCTTCAGTGATACCTCAGAAGGTATCAGAAAAGGCTTTGTCTACCACCAGAGAGGAGGGAGCTTGCTGCAGATACTAAAGAAGTTCCAGGCTGGGTTAGCTCATTAAAATGCTACACAGGGTTAGCTCATTAGCCATCGAGACTCAACTCTGGGCTGAAAGTGGCATTAGAGATGGTTTTGTGGGCTCATGTGACATTTACCTTGAAGGCTAGGTTTGTACCCCCAAATATTTCAACCTGTTAATTTATTGTAATCCTTTTAAATCTGCTTACATGCTTTCACTTGTTTCTTCCACTCTTTCGTGATGTATAATTGTTTGGTTAAGGGAGAATTTGCCTTCTTCTACCCTGCTCCCCTCAGTAAGGCAGGCAATATGCATTTTCATTTCCACTGAAGAAATTGGCACAAGGGATACATGACAAAAAGGACCAAGAAAAAGTGGGTAGTAGAAGTCAGCTGACTGAATATTTTTCTAAATACGTGAAAGGGCAAGAAGGCTATCTGTAAAGAATGTTGTTTCTAAAGCCAGGCCTGGTCCCATACCTGACCTTGATCCATTAATTTGTTTTAGTTGTGATGATCCTGAAGTGGAGGATTATGGGAACAAATGGAGCATGAGTGCTATGCTTAGGTACCTGAAACAAGAAGGCAGAGATACAACTGGTGAGTACCAGGCCTTTTTTTTTTTTTTTTCACTTCTCGTTTTTGTATACCATCACATTGTCTCTTGCTAGGGGGTCATCTCTCTAACTCTGGTAGGGATGCTGAGATGTTCTGCGTGTTACTTTTCCCTGCTGTTTCCAGGAAACGAAACCAGCTTTCCATGGCCCTGGAGATTCCTTTTCTTGTTTCTCGTTCGAAAGGCATAACTTTTTCCTTTAACCCTTGAAGAGTTTATCCTTCCTGAATGTTGACTTACTAACTAAAGTACTGTCAGCTTTTTATATAACAAATTGTCTGTCTCCATACTGGCTCTAAGTTCAAATTTTTCTAAGCTAATCTCTCTCATTCACGTTGCTGAGCTGGAGAATAGGACAGTGGAGTTTGTGAGTATAGGGCCTGGAACCAAAATGGGCACTACTGCTGAGCCTTGAGCAGAAGGGGAAACATTGTGCCAGAGGAGTCTGTCTCTGTCCACAAAAGACGACGTGATAAGGAAAGAGTAAGAAAGGAAGTCAGGCTTCTTTTCCATTCAGTGTCTGTCTTTTGTCATAGGTCACCGGAGTGCAATCCTGGCCACCTATATTCTTGACTGTGTCTACCTTTTCACAGATATGCCTGCTCCCAAAGCACCCATTCAGAAGACTACTGCTTAGAGACTTTTTTGAATAAGCACACATGCTTTTATAGTTTTATTGTATTCTGAAGTCCCGTCCTTCCGATCCATGTATTTTAGTATTTCTTCTTTTCTTTGTTTTGCAGCGTTGATGGCCCATGTAGAAGATCTGATCATTAAGACTATAATCTCTGCTGAATTAGCTATTGCTACAGCCTGTAAAACCTTTGTTCCTCATCGCAGCAGTTGTTTTGGTAAGAAGGCTCAAAAAGCTGAAGGTGTTTTGTGAAGAGAGTTTCTGGAAAATTGGGATGGGACTCTGGGGTAGAGAAGCTGAGTGATTCTATAGGAGGTATGTGATGGGCTTTCATTTCTTTCTAAGCTCACATAGCAGATAAAGAGCCTACTAAGAGGCCAGTGGTGAGGTTAGTTGGAATTCCCCTGCTTTCTGTGTGGGAAGCAGAGATTGGAACTCAAGTGTGGGTCTCTCTGTCAGAGTGCAATCAGAAAAAGTCTGCAATGGACAGTACAAGAATCCAGCTCTAACAAATATATTCCAGAGCTCTTTGGCAGCCAGACTGGGAACTGTTCCAAAAAGCTCTGGCTGGTACCAGTATGCGCTTTCTCCTGTTTTCTGATGACTCCTCCTTTTTGTTTTAGTCTTCTTTCTGGTGGGTTCCCCCTACCCAGCCCCTCTTCTTTATCCTCTCCCTTCCTACCCTACCTTCAGTTTCCTGAATGTAGAGAGAGGAGTAATAAACAGTTCACAACTACGGGATCAGAAAACCTGTTACCTACTGACCCACCAGCTGTGACTGTAGCAGTGAAGATGACTGCATACGTGTGCTTTCTATGTGGACAAGAACTCTAGTGATTGCTAGTATGCATGTCCATAAGTCACAAGCTTTCAGCAGGTGTTAGGCCTTGCTAGTGAAACACACTAGGGTCATCAGTGGGGAGGATAATTACAGCGTGGGATGGAGTCATACACGCAGTAGGGATAGAAGAGTTATGAGAGGCGGCATAACAGGAAGTAAAGAACGTGGACTTTAGAGCTTGACAGACGTAAGTTTGAAACCCCCTTTCCTCTTACTGGCTTTGCAATTTTCAGCAGGTTACTCTCATTCTCTTGCCCCAACTATAAAATGACAGTAATGAGATGACACCTACCTCCTAAGATTACTGAGAAGATTAAATGAGATGGTGCATGTAAAGCATGTTTTTTTATTATTTTTTGTAATTAGACATTATAATTCTCTATCTCTTTAATAGATGATCATGACAGTCTATACTTGAGGAGCACTAAACAAAGGGAATTTTTGAGATTCTAAACAGAAAATGATAGATAAATCAGGACCTAAAATTAATATAGCATAATAAGAGGTTGTATAACTTCTTTAAAATACAAATCTGTTCATGCCTTCTAAAACCTTTGAATACCTCCTTAGGCTTAAAAATTATAGGACCTTGATATGACCAAGTAAGTATCTGACCCCACCTGACTTTTCTAGAATTCCATTTCCCCTCTTATACCTTATAATTCAGCTATATCACATCATACCACTGAGCACTCCATGCTGTTATGCCTATGTATAAGTTCTGCTGTTCAGCTAGAAAACTCTCCTCTTGTCTACTTGCAACTCGTATTTATCTTCTAAGACACAGGTTAGACATTACGTCCTCCAAGAAGCCTTGCCTAACGAAATGCCCTGCTGTGTCTCCTCCCTCATGCTGTTCCATACTTATTTCATTATATATTTTTTCCTGTCGCATTGTGATATTTTGTTTACGTGTGTACTTCTCCAGTACTCTCTGAGCATGTCTTCTTGAATTTTTAATAGTCACTGTAACCCCCTCCCCGTCTCACTCCATTTCTGCCAGACCCCTTTCCTAGACCTCCCAGGTCCTTTCCTAACCCTTTGCCTTTGCACCTGCTCTGTTCTGTGCCTGAAATACCTTTCTCATGTTACTTTATCTGCCAGATTACTGACATCTTTTAAGACAAAAGTCAAGTATCATTTCTTTGGTGAAGTTTTTCCTAACTCTTCCAGTCTAAGTGAGCCTCCCCCTCCCCCCAGCTCTCTGTTCATAACTCTGCAGTAGCACCTGTATGTTGTCTGGTACCCATTTATGTGTCTTTCTCCCCCACTGGACTGGAAGCTTCTTGAGGACAGCAGCAATGTCTCTGTCATTTCAGCCCCTCCAGTGCATAGCAGCATCTTTAGCTCTTAAAGGATGTTCAGGAAATGTTTGTTGAATGAACTAATAGTACTTGTTTTAATTGCCTTTTGGTGGTGTGAGATTAGGCTTATCAATGGATTTTGCTTGGTAAGGGCCAAATAGCTCTTAGAATTACTGCAAACTGTTTGAGGATGGGGAGAGGGGGTTAGGAACATAACTCCAACTTCAAAAACCCTTTCAGCTTAAAAATCAATAAAAGTTTATTTTCCACCTCTACTTGGCTCTTATGTGAGGGTAATTTTTAGTAGCCCTTGGTGGCGCAGTGATTAAAAAAGCTTGGCTGCTAACCAAAAGGTCAGCAGTTCAAATCCACCAGCCGCTCCTTGGAAACCCTATGGGGCAGTTCTGCTTTGTCCTGTAGGGTCGCTATGAGTCGGAATTGACTCGATGGCAACAGGTTTGTTTTTTTTGTTTTTTTTTTGGTGTAAAAATCTTTGTTCTAGAAATAGTTAATCACAAAAGCTTTTCTGAATGTTTCCTGTTCTATTTCTTTTTATTACCTGGTTGCCTTTTGGAAGCTGAAGAATTTCATGGATCTAATGGCAGTAGAATACTCTGGTGTGAAATAAGCAGTGACTTTCTCTGACTTAGCAAAATACCCCCTAAGTTCAGAGGTCTCCTTCCCCCCTCTCTACTTGTGTTCACTTTTAATAAACCAAGTGCATCTGGAGTTTCTTAAGTTGTTGACTGTCTTCTTGGCTTTTGTGGTTCTAATTCCTCTTCCTGTCAGCCCTGGGATTTTGTGTGCTTCATTAACCTCTCCCCATCAGACATGATTTTGTATACGTGTGTATATCTGTGTGAGCATCTTTGCTTCCCACCCACTCCTATCCTCCCCTGGGGTTTAAGTTACAAGAATAAGCTGTTTTTTTTTTTTCTTTTCTCATTTGTTTTAGAGTAAACAGGAATTGAGAGCTTCCCAGAAGATTTTGGCTTAAACAGAGCCTTGGTGCTTTCAGGGGAAGCCAGTAGTCCAGAGATGGGGTTCACTATATTCTTTCAGTTGTTTCACCCCTTCCGTCTTATGGATCTCCTTTGCCAGGAGCATTCCATTACTATCTATGTCTTTCTGTCCTGTGGTTCTTTCCCGCCCTGCTACCTATAGTGTCCAACTGTGTTTCTAGGTACCATCAATGCCTTAATGTTTTTTAAGTTCTTGCTGTGTACAAGGCATAGTTTACCCTTTCAGCAGTACATTACCACCAAGAGTTTGTTCCTCTCACAATTTTACATGGGTTGATATAAACATATACTTGCATTGTATTATCAGCGTTTAAATGTACCTTCACACACTACCTGAAACTTAGCCATTGCATCGTTTTTCATAGATTACGACATTTGGAAAGTACCTCAGAGAGTAATTAGTCTAGTTGAAGAAATGGAGACCCTGAGAAGTTAAGACCCTTGCCCCAGGTTCTAGAGCTAATGAGTGAAAGAACTCGGATGAGAACTAGCTTTCAGATTTCCGTCTTACAGCCACTTAGCTTGGAGAAAAGGCGCATGATGAGTTTTAACAATCCGGTCATCTTGATCATGGGGCACTTGAATCAGAATATTTGATGCCTCTTCCAACAAAACAGATTTTTGACAATCTAGTTTTTTATTGCCTTCCAAGATTGTAAAAATATATGCTTAAACAGCATGCCAAATACATGCTTAAACAGCAAACCTTTTAAATATGCTTGGGAAATTGGCACTGTGAGGTAACTGGCTATGAGAACAGCTTTTTTGACCAATTGAAGAAACACTGAGCCAAAAACAACAGGATGTTAGTTGTCCTTGAAAGATGTTACTGCTGACAGTGGTTTTATCTATGTGTGAGAAGATGGCTGAAGTGACAGGATATGACCCCTGTTCTTTCTAGCCTGGGCTCATGTGGAGCAGCTGTGGTACCAGTTGTTGAATTGATCAGACTGGCCCTGTTAGATCAGGCACTAGTGACGTCTTTGCTCAGGACAAACAGTTTGCCCATTTCGTTTCTCTCTGTGAAGTGAATGCTGGTTTGGCTGCCTGTTGCTACTGTTCTTGACCAGTTACCTGTGAAGGTAAACTGTTATAGGGAGAGTGTCCATAAATATTTGTTGAAGGAATGAAAGTATGTTCTCCAGTAATATAAACCACTTGGCCAATAAAACAATAACGAAAGTCATCAATCTAGTCACTTTTTGAGATAGTGTCCTTTTCTGGTTTACCCTATGCTCCTGTTAGATGAGAAGGGAAGTTTACTGTAGAAGGAACTTAATGTAGGAAGTACCTACTGTGTGTCAAGCACTTTTCACTGGTTATTTAGTCCTCTCAACAGTTTTATTGGAAATTATTACCCATATTTTGTAGACAAGGGGGAAAAAAAAAGATTCAGAAAGGTTAAATGATTTGCTCTAGGTCATGCAGCTAATAAATGGCATAGCCAAGTGTGGAAGCCAGGTCACTCTGGCTTTCTCCACCCACATAAAGAAAAGTTCTGATGAGGCCAGCCAGTTTTGGTATGCCCTATATCCTGGGTTCTCCCTCTGCTTTCCTGTAACTGGATCTCAGGAAAAATGATATCATCTTTTTTAGCAGATCAGGCCTAAAAAGGACACTCTTTTTGCTCTAGTCAACAGTATCCAGTCCTAGATATTTCTTTTATATCTGCCTTTACATATGATGGCCAGATTGTATGATTTATTGGAATAGTTAACAAATTGACTCTGGGCTTTTTTTTTTAAGCTCATTTTCCCCTGAGATCTTGGTCTACTTTTTTTTTCCCCAAGTTCTCCTTCTGGACCCTAATTAAAGACTTCCTTCTTAGCTTTTCAACTCAAATTCAAAACCAAGGTGAAAAGAATTTCCTTTGTGAGATAACATTTGAGTGACAGTGAGTACTGGCTAATGTCAGCACTTTCCATTGCCTCCCAGACTAAAGCTTCAGCTGGGACTTTATTTCTGTAGAGGGTTAGTGGATTGATTCCAAAATTAGTGGTGTGACATGTTTAGTAATCTCTTAGGCCTTAAATGGATTATTATTTTCTCT